CCGGGGGGGGGGGGGGGGGGGGGGCGTGTTTCTTTTCGACCGTTGTGTTTTTGTCGTTGGGGAGCAGATTCCGACAAGTACTATTCAGGCACGGCCTCACACTCAAAACCGGGCGCCAAACACCTAATGGGCGCCAAATATCAACTGTCATTGCTTAGAGATATCTCCAATCTCCACGGACAAGCCAGCTTGACAATTCATACCGGATATGGTGTAGCGAATCCCAACCCTCCTCAACGGTCCCGTCCTGCAATCGTTTTGGAGCCGCCGGGCTTGCCATGTGAAAAAAACGGCCGTAGATCAGGAGGAACATGTCTCGCGGGAGGCAAGCACGCACGAGCTTGTAGTCGTGGAAGGAGTGACAGCTCCAGTGGTCCTGCAGCTCCGGCAACTGGACCTGTCCGATGGCGAGGGTGATCCCGATGACACCTAGCATCATCTTCGTGGTGATCCCCCCCCTCGGCCGCACGGATTTACCTTTCTTCTCTTTCTTGTCGCGGTGACGCTGCTCCTGTCCCTTGGGGTTCTTTGTGCTCGTGCAGAACTTGAAGTACTCGTTTGTGTGTCGCGACGGTGGCCGTGGGCGGTGGGCAAGTGCGAATGGGTAATCATGAGTGTTCAGAAAGTGAATTGAGGGTGTACCATGCGCCACCACCCAACCACCCATTACGGTTCAATCACGGCATGAACACGTGACGAACAGCTCCCCCAAAAAAGCAACAAGCGCTACCCTTGCATGATCAAAGACACAACAGGAACGGGCGCTTGCACTAACCTTCAGGACCAGGTGTGAGATCACCGCCGCCGGGAACATGATGCCGAAGAACGTGAACGCCAGCTCGCCTAGCCCATCCACCGAAAACCTGCCCAACTTCTCGGGGTCAAACTTCGGCAACGCGTCCAAAGTTGTCTTCGACGGTTTGAACTTCAAATCGTGTCCCTCTCCCGCTTTATTACGGTGGCAATCGTAGTACCCGTGCCCGTCTCCTCGGTAGGAGCCTTCACCGTCAAAATCAAACCCACCACCCCCACATGAGCCCGCAGCACCGCCCCCCGCTCCGGTACGACACCTGTCGTCATCTGCTGCACCCTCTCCCTCACCCCTATTCCGCACGGTGCCGCTCCTACTGCTGTCACAGTCTCCACCGCCATTTCCACCACGGGCATCCTTACCGCTGCAGCGGCCGCCGTCGTATCCAGCGGTACGACCTACATTTTTCATGCCGCGTGTTGTCCAGACGTGCTCATCGGTGGTATCTAGCCCCTCCTCGCCCTTCTCCTCCTCGCCTGTCTCACCACCCCCCTCCGGAGCATCCTTGTGGACCTTCGACTTGGCCATGTTATTCTTCTGTTGTGGACGATGGCATGGAAACAACCGGGTATTGCAGAGAACAGGGTAGGGGCGGGGGGGGGGGGCGTACTCTTATGTTTTGCATGCCTTAACGGTTAAACCATTGACCACGCGTCCTCAAAAGGGTAGGGGCGGGGGTGGCTAAAACGGTCAGGGGCCATTGTTGCCATCGCATC